AATAATGTATAAATCTGTAACCACATTAACAAACCAGCTGTTTCCTACCCCTTTTGCCCACAGTTTTTTTGCAGAGCCTTGGGGTAGATGGGTAGGTATCCCCTCCTCCTCTTTTATCCCCGGTGTCATCGAAAGTGTGTTGTTTTGGTTTTATATACACATAAAAATAACCACAAAATTTCATATGTAGAGGCTTGACAAAGTATACAGAACTGGATCTGTGGTGAGAAACTATCTTGACACCAAAGATTGCTTATTACAGCGTTCATCTGTCTACACCAATTAATAGGTCATCTATATGCTCATTTGCAAAGCCTTCGTCTCCTTTCGCAATGTGTGGCTGTCTTTTTTTCTTAATTTCACCTAGGGTTTTTTTTTTTTTTTTCCCATGCAAGGGCACTGGATGACTAGGCTATATGACATTCTTCATTTCCTTTATAATACCGTATAGTAATAAGATCTTGAGCATAAAATGGAAAAGTCCTGAAAGGACATGACGAATTTTTTTCTGCTTTATGCACAGTTAAAACTTTTCATGGCGTATTGAGTCTAGGTTTTTGCATGTTTCTTTCAGTTTGAGCTTGTGGGGAAGTCAGAAGATGGGGTGGATTTGTTTGGAGTCTCTACTTTGAATGTCATTAATATGCTGATTTGTGTGAAGTGTTCTTGGAGTTCTTCCCGAGACTCTAGATCCTGACCTGGATTTGCCCAATGTTTGTGCTTCCAACTTTAACACAATACCCGGAGTGAGTACAGTTCATCTGATGTTGCTTCTGAACCTCTGTTAGGAAGCACTATCTACTGATCGCTGCAGGGATGGCACTGGAATTCCAGGAAGCATGCTAAAAAGTCAACGGCTAACCCACACTGCAAGTTGACTTTGCTGAAGTTGTTGAATAAAGTCTTTTAGAGTTGGTGGCCAAAGTGTTTGGGAAAAGAAAAATAATTACTTGAAGCCAGTATCAGGCTTCTTTTCCTGAGTTTGGGGACCTTCTATTATAATGTTAAAATCTAAGGACTAGATTCAGAGGGGATTAGGCACCTTGTAGAAAACTTAAGTAGGAATTGGTTTTGTCTGTCTATAACTTGTCATCTTCTAGTCAGGATGTGAGAATATGCAGAAACCTTTAGCGTTAAGTAATGCTGCCTGGAAGATGGGATTGTTCAGGTCTCTGGTTTTCTGGGGAGGTGCCAAATTCTTAAAAAATAACTCTGAGAAATGGCTTCCTTAGATCCAACAGACATAACTTTTCAAGGCCGTATGAACTTGAATTGGACTCAAATCAGGTGTGGTTAGATGTGGCATGTCTTAAATATTGTGGCTAAATTCAGTGTGTTGACTGCTCTTCACTGTAACGTTTGCTTCAGAAGCAAGATGCTTGGTTGCTTCTACCACCTAACTTAAGGTGTAGATAGTTCTCTTTTCTGCTTTTTTTTTGGTTGTGTTTTTTTTCCTAGGTTTGGAGCAGTTTTCCTATTTATATTCTTTATGTACTTCAGACATGGATTCCCCATCAATAGCTGTGAGAGAGTAAGCGGTCCATGAAAGCAAGTTGTCAATGAACGTAATTTAACAGGGTTGTGTTTAGCATCTTGGTCTTTTTCCTAGTTGCATGTTTGTTTTTACCAGCCTGTCTTGCGCAGCTACAGCCAAAAATATTGCCTCGCATGATGTTAAAGAGAAGCACGGAATTGTTGAGGTTGGAAGGAACCGCTCAAGATTATCTAGTCCAACCCGCAAAGTGTAGGAGGGTTTAAAGAGGTATATGGTATTTAATTTTTCTGACCATAAGATGGGCTTATGTAAACAAAAGTGTGCACATGTAACTTTTTTGATCAGCTGATACCAGCAGAAGTCTGGTAATTAACTCTTTCATATCTCTCACTAAGTTTGCTTTAGGAAGAAAGGAAAAACTTTTTCCCCTCTCTGATGGGTAGAATTTATTTCCCTTTCTGAATATCTAAGGACAAACATTACTCTTTCAAGTCTGGAAGTCTGTTCACATTTGTGTTTGCTTGGTCTTGGGAATATTGCTGGAATACTTGGGGTTTTCTGGTTCAAACAGAATTTCTGCATTTCTGTTACCTTTTTAAACCATAATTTTTTTTTAAAGCAATTGGTTAGAGACTGAATTTTGCAAATTTCATTGCTGTAAGACAAAATTGCTCTAAGAAAAGGGCCTTTTTGTACTCTTATGGCTCTGTCAACTTTTTCCATGCTTTAGCCTCCCATTTCAGTTTGTTTCTCCAGTCGATGAGCACAATGTGCTGAGTCCCCGTTCTGCTTGTTCCACTCCAGCCCCTTAGTGCTGAGAAAATGTGGATCCAGCCCTGGGGAATGACTGCTGTTTAAATTGGCTCTATAGGTAGAGTGGAACTGGCAGAACAACCATACATAGCTACCTTTGCAGTTTCCATCTTTGAGAGCGTGTGGAGAAAGGGGTGGTCAAGGAAAGCTGTCCTCTGGCTTATCCTTAGATGGTTTCCGGAGAGCAAGATAGGAGATGTGCGCAGGTAAACTGGGTTAGAGACAAGAAAAAAGCTGTTTACAACTGGAATAAAAATACATATTTGAACACAGGTAGCCAAACCATGGCTGTAGCTTGTTGGGCAGAACAGTAGTCTTCAGTACTGCAAGTCGGGACTTGTGTATTGGTGGTGGTGGTGACTGTTTTGTTTTTGTTTTATAATTATTCAGCAGAAGTTACAAGGCTGTGCAACTAAAGAGATGCTATCGCTGTGAATGTACCAGTGGAGATGCTGAGTCATAAATAGCTTGGTTTCAGTGTGGTCAACAATTGTAATGCTCACATGGTTAAATTTAAAGTGTGGGTTTTCTAAAAATATTTTTTCATAATAAATACATTCCCCCTTTTCACCATCCTTTTTGGGCAGAGTTTACAGCATACCATTTTTTCCACCAGAAATAGTCTGAAATCAGGATTAAAACTTGTCAAGGCACCTTGTAGTCTTGCACATGAGAACTTCAAGCAATTTATCTGACAGACTATTTAAAGCTAAAATATTTAATTGATTACAAGGCTTTTTACTGTATTCTGCTTGTTGTGTTTTTTATTCCAGGTTACCTAACAAAAGAAGACTGTAACTCGACTGCTGTTCTGTCACGATGGGGTCAATTGTGTGGGAATGTGGTTAAACATTTTCACACCTTAACCTAATACATGCTATATAATACCAAGAAAAGGAAAGAAAAGGCAAGATTTCTCACACGTCTGTGTCAAATACGTCATCTTCTGGACTGAACTGAGAATGTTGTATACAAAGAGTATTCCCGTTTTGAAGAACCTTAAGCAAGGACTGAAAATATCGCCGTTGAAGTGAAATCTGAGGGCACCTGAGGAGCTGAGCGAGCTTTCTGGCTGGGCTCAATAACCAGCCCCATTCCCAGTGTGGAAGGATGGCTGTTAGCTGGATGTTCTGTTACCTTTGGCTTTTGGATGTTTTGGTGGGGCTCACAAGAGGGCACAGTTTATTTTCTTGTGAGCCCATCATCTTGCGGATGTGCCAGGATCTGCCTTACAATACCACCTTTATGCCTAATCTTCTGAATCATTATGACCAGCAAACAGCAGCATTAGCAATGGAGGTAAGACTTTTTTTTTTTTTTCAGCAATATATTTGGGTTTGGGCTTTACTTGACAAATAATTGGTAACAGAAACCAGGAAGATATTTATATTAGAAATAAAAATGAAAAGATCAAGATAATGATTTAAATATAAAAAGAAACACCCTTTGCATAAGAAGTATTGTAATATATGCTAAAATATTCTATGACTACAAAATTTGCCTAATTTAGTATAACTGAGTGTGAAATACTCTGGACGTGTTTGCATGTTAGCCTGTTACTTTAAATATGTAGACAGATCAAGAATGCATTTTTTGAATGGTCTGTCACTTAACTAAATGCCAGAAAAATAGCATACTGAACAATGAATAGAAGATTTTTAGTTTTGAAGACTGTGTCCCTTGGTGGCTTTTTAATATTTGGCCTTTTCTTACTCGCCTAAAATTTGATGTGAAGACAATGAGAATGAGGCATGCTGTGAAAATAATGGAAATGTGTTAGTACTGCTTTTCCCAGCTGCAGGAAAGCCTGTTGTCTTGCAGACAGTTTAGTTAACCTGCTTCTGTTCTATAGCCAGGCAGACAAGGTTTTAGACTTGCGCTTTCTTTGCTACAATGGTACCTTATTACTGTTATCATTATCCCCCAAAACTTTCTTTGGACTTACAGGTAATCATTTTCTCCTTTAAAAAAAAAAAACAAAAACCACAACACATTTCCACTGGTATTTGTCTAAGCTTTCTTTGGAGAACTTTCCTGATGGGTCTTCAACCACACAGTCTCTTATTGTCTACAGTCCAGTTTACTTTTAAGTTCACTTCTATACTGCCACCCTGCCTAAGGAGTTTCCTTACTTGGTATTCCGTGACTAGAATTGATGGAAATTCAGAATATAAGGCAAGTCTCGCTGTCAGCCTATTCAAATTTTCATGAGCGATTTGTGCAGATTAGTTTTATTTGTATTTTTGAAGTGCTTGGGAATCCTCGCTGGTAGATATGCTCGCTGCATACTGAGAACAGAAAGAGTAGTCACCTGTTTCCATCTTTGAATGCTCTTCCTTTACAATATAGAAACTTAATTTAATTGTTCTTCTTAAATAATACAAAACCAAAGCTTTATGTAGTCTTTCTATGGAAGAGTTGTGAACCAGGCTTGGCAGGTGTTTTAGTGTAAGAAGAAAATAGAAAAGCTCACCCTTAAATTTGTGTTGTTTGAAAGAACTATGGACCTGCATTTCAACGGCTCATTTGGATGTGGCTAGGGATTCCAACTATACTAAATACATAGCAATCCATAGAAATGAATTTTATTTTAGAATTGGTTCTGGTAAGTTCTGAGGACTTTTAAGAATCTAGCTGTAAGGAGGAAAAATGAAGCCAAAGCAAGTTTAATAGGGTAACAGTGTGAACAACTAGGTGTGTACAAGCTGTTTATTTCATCTTTGAAAGGTGGAACTTGGTTTCATTGATTCCTTTAATATCCTAACTGGATTGAAGACCCCTGGGACTTGGCTTGCGGAGATGTGGAGACAGTGGGTTTTGGTTTTGTTGGGTGATTGGAGAAGTAGATGGTCCCCTCTTGGAGTGGAAGTAGGTTATCAGTGGAAGGCTTTGGGGATCTGTGCAGTTCAGTATTTTCTTAGATGATCTAGAAGAGAAGACTAGCAGTAAGATGAGAAAGCCTATTGATACTGTTGTGAGTAACTTAAAACTAAGGTCAAACCAGAATGAAGAATTTTAAAGATCTTGAGATTATGTTTGAGATACATTGAGCCGTAAAATTGTTGAGGAAATTCAAAGTGATGAACATGTATGTGTTTTGGGGAATAATATTCTTCAGATCGGTTGTGGTGATCAGCTTATTTTGTTGGACTTGTGGTGGTTTGTTCTATTGAAATATGAGTTGAAAGCTTGACTGAGCAGTAAAAAAGCCAAGAGGCAAATCAGATGTGGAATAATTAGGAAAGGAATAAAGACCAGGCATGACACCGGTGGCACATAATCCTGTGGCTCTCAGACATCTGGAGTGTTGTGTGAAGTTCTGAGCTATCTCAGAAAAACGTGTTGAACTGAAGGGGGTCCAGGGAAGAACAGGAAGAATGACCCCGGGCTTATGGAACATATCCTGCTTATGCTGTCTCTTCCAGCTCAGGAACTTGGCTTCATCAAATGAAGTTGTTAGAAGCCAAGTCAGAACAATGAGGAAGAGATGGTTCTTCACATAGCTGGCAGTAGAGCTGCGAAGCTCTTAGTACTGTGGATGTGAGAAGTTTGAGGAGGTGGGACCAGAACATGGAAGGTAAAGCCACTGAGGGTGACTAGGCAGAAAAAAAACCCCAAACAAACACTTCAGGCTCTTCCGCTCCGCAGAAAATTGTCACAGGCTGGGAGAGCATTTTGGGAATGTCAGAAATGTCCTGCTGATGGTCCATTTTGCCAAGCGTTCTGTATCCTCTGAAGGCAAGAGGAGGTACTATTTAGGGAAGGGATGCAAGCCTCTTGTCTGTGGGCCGTTCCCCTGGTGCTTCCCCAGTACCCGCAGTCCCTGAATTATGGATGCTAGAGGGTACCTTCCTGCCTGTTCCCGCTAGTATCGATTAATGGCTCTATTATAAATGAATTTCTCTAAATTACTTTATGAATACAACACTGTCAACCAGTTCACCAGCCACCACATGAAGAAGTACTTATTCTCTAACCTGTTTTAAACTAGTTTCCTTCTAGTTTTATTTAATACCCATTTGTTCCAGTATCGTGCAATGTGCTGCAGTTAAATCCTCTGTTACACTCGTGATTTTGGAAACCTCAGTTTTATCCCCCAGGCTTTCCCTCTCCAAATTGAAGTGTTCCAGCTGTGTGGGCTTTCTTCTTGCAGTTCAGCTGCTTCATTCTTGTGATAATTTCAGTTACCTTTCTCTGTCCCTTTTTCTAGCCTTGTCCTTGCTGAGGTGTGGCGATGAGAATGGTGCACCACTCCAGATGTGGGTACACTAGGGATTTATTTATAAATAGAATCACGCTTTTTGCTGCTAATAGCTTCCTAATAATGGCTAACATTATGTTCATTTTTCTGGCTTTTGTTACATGTTAAACCAGAGAACTGTCAAAAATACCACTTTCACTAACAGTCTGTTTATGGCCACTGTTGGAAGCAGAGCAGTAATTCTATGGACCCTCAGTCTGAGCCAGAATAACTGCCCTAATTGTTCTTATCGTCATAAAATAGCTTTCTGCTACGGAGAGAAACAGTTGACAAGCGAATGCTACTTCACTCTGTGGTATAAAGCTCAACTTAACAGCGTAAATTAGCTTGCACAAAACACTGTGTTGCTGCCATTCATATATACTAACTTGATGCCAAAGCCATTCTTAAACATAGCAAGGGTGCGTTGGTGTTGTGAGCGTATATAGTGCTCCCTTCTGCCAATATAATTAACATACAGGCCAGTGATTCTGGTCTGGGGATGGACTATGGGCTACTTCTGAATGCTTCATGAAAAATGGTGAATGCTGTGCAAGGAAACAAGGCTATTATCAAGCTTAAATTCACTATGCAGGAGCCTGCGCCTCCATTGCAGAGTCTTTTAGGGCTTTGAACAGCAAAAAAAGAATGAAACCGCACAGGTTTTCAGAAGTATGGTTCCACTCCTTGTATTAGCGTAGATTGCCCCTTAAATTGGTACTTAGCAAGAAGGAAGCTTTTATTACTTAGCTTTTTAGTCATTGTTTAATGTTGCAGTCAAATGGATGGAGCACTCAAATTTTGAACCAAATGAAGTCTATTAAAACTTGCATTGTGACATTTTCGGGTAAACATCTCTCATCTCCAAGCCTTCCGTAATTGCTGCATAAGATAATATAGCAGCAGAATCAGTGTGATTCATCTTGTGTACTGGGGGGGAAGGGCTTGTAATTCTCACAGTTTTTCAGTATCACTTTTTCACAACAGTTCCTAATAAAACCCACAAGAAAAATTCAGCTTGCTTGTACTGAAAGAGTATAATACAAGAAAGAGTGAATGTGAAGCAAAAAAAAAAGAACTACTACAGCTGTTGTGTTACTGTCAATAAATCCAGCGTACTTTGCTTCCCATGCCATTGATTGCTTCATTGAAGGAACTGTTTAAAAACTAACTTATTGTTAGTTCTTGAAAACTCAAAAAATCAGAAAGTTGCCTTTTTGAGACTTTATGCCAGTATGATTCTTTCATAATTATAATAAAGGCTAATAAGTCACGTCATCAGTGTTGTCTTGTTATGTTGCAGCAATATTGGTATTGACCATCTTGATTAAACAAAATAAAATAGAATATTGCATCAGGAGTCCCTCTCAGTGTATTCTGGTCCATGCTGTAATTGGTTCCTATGCCTTTATTTACTCCTAAGAGAGAGAATGCCTTAAGCTTTCTGCAGTGCTATGTCAGCAAGGCCTGCTTTAATCCGTGGAGACTGAAGGGAGGGCTTTCCGCATTCAGGGGCCTGGAACATTATTTTATCCCCAGGTATCTCTAGCAGGGCTTGCTCCTTTTGATAGAGGATGAACCCCAGTTGCACCAGTCCAACCTCTGCTAACATCTGCTTGGCTATAGCAGAGACTAATCTGACGGTCATTTTGCATCTGCAGTTAATACAAGCATGCTGATCATGACAGCGCGTGGAGATCTGAGATGGTAGGTGTGGAGGGCAGGTATTTTTCGGCACCGCTTCCACCAGCTGAGCTGTCCAGGCAGGAGGGGAGCTGGGAGCTGTCCTGCCCTGCAGTTCGCCACTGCAGCAGCCGCGGTGCACAGCGGGGCCTCGCGTTTCCTGGCTCTGGGAGGGTCATTCCTTCCATCTGTTGTCGTGTAAAACATATTGTAAGGTACTTTTTAAAATTTTCTTATCTGCTAACAGGTTGTTTTAGTACAATAGCCATCTAACATAGTCTGTCTCAGCGATGCTGTTAAAACTTCCCTCTAAATACGTTCATGATGATAGTGTGTCATTGAGATGATGTTTCACTGCCCTGCTGCCACAGTTCTG